CCACTTGAAGCGGGGGGAGGCACACCACTGAGCAGTTTCTATTAACCATTGCAGTTTCCACTGCCAGGTGGGAGAGAGCATTCAGCAAGTTAAAACTAATACTTCTGTATTTGAGAGCCTCCATGGGTCAAGGCAGACTGTGTGATCTTGCTCTGCTAAGTGAAGAAAGAGAAGAAACTGAAAAAAATGACTCTGAGCACATGTCATTGCTGTTGGGTGCCATCAGGTTGATTCTAACTCATAGCAATCCCATGTGACAGTGGAGAACTGCCCCATAGGCAGTTCTTGGTTGTAATTTTTATGGAAGCAGATCACTTGGTGGGTTCGAACCGCCAAACTTTTGGTTAGCAGACGAGTGCTTAACCATTGTACTACCAGGGCTTCTTTTGAGCACATTATAGACCAGTCTTCATCGGTGAAAGCAAGGAAGGTGCAGCTGTAATTTTTATGTAGTGTCATAATGTGTTAATTAAAAGATTAACAAGTTTGACTTGCATTTTTGAGTTGATATTACGGTAAAGTTATCTAAGAGCCGTGTGTCAGATGTTTTGACAGGAGCACAGAGGTGTGGGGTGGGCACAGAGGGGGACATTTGCTCCCTCCCCCCAATGCAAGTCCGGCGGCGGGGACCAGTTGAGGCATGAAATGACATCCTGTGGTGCCACAAATGTGAAAGGCACCTGACTGAGGCAGCTGGACAACAGAAGGGAAGGCATTTCTGCTAAGTTGCCACTGTCAATGTCTATTCATCTTGAATGGGGGGGGACGCAACTTAGAGATTGCCTCTGGGTGCTCGTTACCCTCCTACGCCTCTGTGACAGAAGCTAGTATCTGCTCTGCACTCACTCTGTGTTGGTCGTTGGGCTAAACATTTATATATACTGTCTTACTTCATCCTCACAGCAGCCCCACGAAGTGAGTACTCTCATTATGCCTAATGTATAGCGAAATAAAATGAAGCCCAAGGAGGCTTAGAAACTTGCCAAAGACCATGTGGCTAATAACTGGTGGGTCAGGTTTGAACTCAAGTGTGTCTGACTCCAGAGCTAATGTTCTTAGCCACTATGCTGTACACTTTTCAAGTCCAGCAAAATGTAGAAACACCAGAAAGTAACATGCATCTGTCCTCAGCAGTTCCTGGGAGTTTATCAAGTCACTTTGCTTTCTTAAAGTAGACCCTCTTGCAGAATAGAAACAAATAGCTTTGCTTTCCTTCACACCTGTCCCGAGGCAAGAAAATCACAAGCACAACTTCACAATTAAAGAGTATCAGGGACACTGTACAAGGTAAACAGCATTGGCAGGCGCTGAAGTTGTTGGAGAAATGTGGGCATGTGGTGTTTTTATTTGTTCATTTATAACCATCCTGGGCCCAAACTAAGGTTCATGAAGCATCAGGATCTATGAACTGGCCCAGGAAGCCAGAGACTATTATAAAGGAGAAGGAGCCCATGAGACACAGAGCACAGGGGCTATGACGGAAAACCACAAGGGCTCATGAGCGACTGTCCTAAGCTGCTGTTGGCTCAGTGTGTTAAACCTCCAGGATACACCAAAGAATAGATGTGTCTGGAGAAGACATGGGTCTTGGGAACCCGTTCTAGCCAAATACAAGGACGATTCTTGTCCCCATACTGTGACCCAGCCTGCCTAGTCATGGTGGGGGAAGGCATGCCTGGTCCCTTGTGAATAGGACAATCAGATTTAAGAGTCTTAAGGGCTTAGCAACCAAAGCTAATTAACTGAAAAGCAACACAAAACGACTCCTTCGAGGGCTTCGCAAAACTGGGCTTGCAGCTTTAGGTACTTCTGTCCCACACCTGGGACTCGGGGAGGAGCTGGCAGATGAGGCGGCCCTGGTGGATTTAGAAGGCTGCGTCCTCTCCAAGATGGCTGACTTCCCATCGCTGTGCCTCTGCTACGGGTGAGGGTAATCTCTGCAGCAACGCACCCACGACCCAGACCCATGCCCTTCCCACCACCTCTCTGATTAATGGCGTCCGTACATGGCTGAAGTCGCAGAACAAAGCGTGAGATCTTCCACAAGTCAGCTCCAAATTTCCCTAAAAGAGGGAGCAGGGGCGGAGTTGAGGATGCCACACCCGAGCGTGAGGCCCAACTTGCTCCCAGGGAAGGGAGCTCTGCGCTCGGCCGACAGACGCCCACTCCGGCAGTGCCGCACTTCCCACCCACACTGCAGGGTCGGATGACAGGAACAGCAGCGGTAACTTCAGCTGTGCTCACTCACCACACCTGAGTCTCTTAGGTTATGGTAGGGTTTAACGGGGCCACAGTGGGAACGGAAGGGAGGAATTCCTATGGAAGTCAGCCGAAGGCACGAAGAGCCAACAAACAGCGAGGTAAAGTGTTACATTCAATCAAACGTTCCAGTAGAAGAGAGGAAAACCCAACACCTAAGGCAGAAGGCAGAATCAGGAACTCAGGGAAGGGTTAAGAACCGTAAGGTCAGAGCCAGGCAGAGAAGCTGTCACAGCAACAAGAGTTTAAGAGTAGGTGAGGCCGTTGAGCATTGTGCTCTTTTAAGATCTATGTCAGACTAAATAATAGGAACTCAAAAGCTTGAACAGGAAACTTAGGGGGCAGTGAGTCTATGTTAATGGGGGAGGAACAATTCAGAAAAGGAGGGTGAGAATGGCTGCACAACTCGAAGAATGTCATCAATGTCACTGAACTGCACATGGAGAAACCTGAGCTGGTGTATGTCTTTGTTGTGTATATTCTCAACAACAACAAAATAAATTATTAAAAAAAGAAAAAAAAGAGTGGGTAAGGCTTGGTTCAAGAGCGTGGAGTCAGGGCTGATAAAGCAGATACCAATGAAGACACCTGGATTTTCTAGTTAGACACCCATCCCCCCCCCACCCATGTGGAAAGGAAGCAAAAGAGTTTTATTAATTGCAGAACTAGTAGGTGGGAAAGAAGTACCAATTTTGAAAGAACCTGTAGATTCTAATGAATTCTAAATGAATTTTACATCATTCCTTAAGTTGCAGCAGATCGCTTTTCAAGAGAATTTTAGGTTGTGTTAGAATTAGGACTTTCCCTAGCAGCCTCAAGAGACGAGAATCAGTTTAGAAGCAAACTATGCAAACCAAAAGAAATTATTCCTGTATTTCAGAAATGAATATATAAAACCCAGAACCGTCTGAAATTAATTATCTGGTAACAGATGACCAAAAGCCAAGCAACGTGACGCTCCTTCACGCTAGGTCACGCTAGGTCAAAGTAGAATCCCTTTTACAGAATAACAACAGCGATGTTCATTTACTCCACGTGCGACTCTAAGCACTATTCATGTATTAGCTCACTTATTCCTTCCAACAGTGAGGGCGGTGGTGGGTCAGTGGTAGAATTCTCACCTTCCATGAGGGAGGCCCAGGTTTGATCCCTGGCCAATACATCTCGTGCGCAGCCACCTCTTGTCTGGCAGTGGAGTCTTGTGTGTTGCTATGATGTTGAACAGATTTCAGACTAAGATGAAGTAGGAGGAAAGGCCTGGTGATGTACTTCTGAAAATCAGCCAATGAAAACCCCATGGATCACAATGGTCAGATCCACCAGCAACCATGGAAATAGTGCAGTGTGGGATGTATGCCATTTAAACATGGCTGCACTACTGACAACTGCAGCCCCCACAGGCCTCTATGCTGTATATGACATGTTGGAGACTTGTCAGCGATAAGAATGAGATTAGGCATGACTTGTTTTCCCAAACCTACTGCCCTGTTACTGATTGGCTTGTTTACCTGAATTCCTTCTCCCTTGCCCAAAACTTATTGTTACTCACCCAAAGCCCATTGTTCTGGTATTTGCTTCACTGCTTGCTGTATTGACTATAAATAAACTCCTGAGACTGAAGCCAGGGGTCGACTCCTCAGAGTGACCCTCCTGGCCCCACTTCTCTGTAAGAGTTGTGCAGTTGGTTACTGTCTTCGCCGTCCTGACAACCGTCACCGCTGCAACAGTGCAGAACTGGGCAGCGATCCATTTCATCGTGCATGGATTCGCCATGAGTCGGGGGCCTACTCAAAAGCATCTAACAACAACATTCCTTCCAACAACCCTATCAGAAAAATACTATCTCCATTTTACAAATAAGTAAAGTGAACTATAGAAAGGTTAAGAAACTTCCCCAAAGTCACCCAGTTCATAAGGGCCAGGGCCGGAATTTGAACCCAGGCTGTCTGGCTTCAGAGTCCACATTCTTAGCCACATACTCTACACCTAAAGCCCTATGACTGCCAGAAATCCAGATTCAGAAGTGCCATATGTCCTGAGAACCTTCACAAATTTGAGGATTCTCCACGGTATGTAACACTAATATCCTCACTGGCTTGTCAACATTATTCAACAACATTCAACGTTGTTCAGTAAATCAGTGCCTGGGTATGTTTATTTAACAATTGCTTAAGCTTATAAAAATTGCGTATTATTTTTATAAAATGCTGTAATTTTAATAACATACATGCATTTTGGTTTTAAAAAAAAGAAAAAGAACTGCTTGGTCTTTTGCCCAATCTAAAAAATAAAAAATAAAAATTCCTTGGTCATTCACTCCAGCAATGTGATAAAGCAACACAAGGACTACTGATGTGAAAGGACTTAACCACTGGCTGGACTGGACCCTTAGAATCCAAGGGTCTGGACTCCCATGCTGCTGTATCATCACACAGCGGACGTGTGGGCGCTGGAATCCTGCGGGAATCCCAGTTCCTGTGTAGTTCCTCATTAGTTACACTCACAGCCTTCACTCACTGAGCACTTTGTACGACACCCTGCGGGGTGTTCACACACGCTGTCTGCTGGCTCTCTAGTACCCTCTGGAGCAGATGCCATAATTCCCACTATGCAGATGAGGAAGAGGACACTGGGCAGGTAATTAGAGTAAACCACCCCCCGCCCCGAGGCCAAAACTCTGGGCCGTTCACGCCCATGGCTGTGGGGCCGCCAAGCTCTGCCCTTTCCCTCAAGATGACGTCACTATTTTGTTTGCACCAGCTTACCGCTGCTGGTATGAACTTTAGGTTGAAACTAGTGATCAACCTCATGATATTGAGCTGGAAGTTTTTAAAATACAGCTCTGAGTCTATAGAGTGAGTGTGTTCTGTTTTCCCCACTCCAGAAAACCGTAGAGAGGGAGGCCATTACAAGCGTGGCTTTCACCATGATCAGGCCCCAGGCAGGACCAAAGATGAGCAGTCCATGACCCTCTCCTACTGATGTTACAGAAGTGGTGCCACCATAGGGTCAGAGGAGGCCTGCGGCTGCAGCCTGTGAAGGGCTCCTAGGCTCCCTCCTGGCTCTCTGCGCTCTATGAGAAGAAGGGTCTCCCCTGGACCCAGGCTTCAGAGGCCCAGACTTACACCCAAGCAGCTCCACAAATGCCTGCTTCAGCTTGGTGCTCCCCAGAATGAGGATAAACGAGTGGCCTGCGAGGTACAACATGATTCTTACTCCAGTCATTGTGGCCATCTTGGTTTCAAGAAGGAAGTAACTGGACGATGTAATTAGACAGACAAGGAAGTAGAGCAGGAAGAGAAAGAGGAAGGAGAGGATGATTTTGATGGCCCTCTTATGGGCCTTGGTGCTGGGGTCTCTGGAGCTAGCCCCCGTGGCCTGCATCTGCCGCGTGTGCCTCCCCAGGGAGAGGATGAGCAGAAAGTAGGAGGTCAGCGACACCACCAAGGGAGGGGGGTTCCACAGAGTCCCGAGAACATGGATCAGCTTGTATTTTCTCTTCTGTCTGGCGTGTTCCATCTTATTCCCCATGTCACTGATTCTGCTGAAGACAGCGTAGGCCTTAAATGCGCAGATCAGAGACACGGTGCTGCTGCAGGACATTAGCAGTGCACCCAGCAGCATCCACATGACCACCCTGGAGACCCGCCACTTGAGCCAGAGGAAAGTGGGGTGGGAGAAACTGGCGACCTTCAGGTAGTACAGGACACCCAGGCATGTGGCAAGCCAGACGCTCAGATGGTTTGTAAACACCCAGAAGAGATCAATCACCTGCATAAGCACCCCTGAATCATGTTTTTTGGGAAAGAACACTAGCAAAACACCATCAGCCAGGAGGAGCCACAGCAGAACAGTCCTGGAAAGGGCCAGGCTGGTGACGATGAAGTCAGACAAAGGGATTCTCTTGCTCTTGAACCAGCTGCCGCCATTGACCAACCCAATAAACCCATTCGCCAGCAGCCCCAGACTGAACGGAGCAGTGGACAGAACCGGAAACACGTACTGCGTGAGTCCCCAGCATGTCTAGTCTGGCAGCCCTGGTCCTTCTCGTTCTGTTGGTGCCTGGCCTCCTTGCTGATGTGAAACTGCTCTCTGGATCTGTCACTTCCCCGCACCCATCTCGTCTTTGCCCAATTCAGTCCATCACAGAGCACAGCCAAGTGGGTCCTCTGGCCCTTCGCAGGAAGTCTGTCCTTCCTCTTCACAGATGGTGTGGATCACCACATTCCATCTATGATCATCAGCTCAGCAGCTCTTTGCTAAAATGCAAATAGAGCAGTGTCCAGTGTCTCACAGAGGAGAGCTGAATCACAAAGATGGAGGACTTGGGCTTGGTTTCAAAGGGAGGAGGCTCTGAGTCACCCAGACAAAGGGGAGTGTGACGACAAGGAGGCACGGTCACTCAGAAGAGCAGGAGGTCTTGTCCCCCAGTGGGGAGGACTCAGAGACACAGAGAAAAGTGGAACTAATAGAATTCCATCGGGAGGTACTGTCAGAGTCACCCCAGAGGAAGTTTAGGTGTATCAAGAAGAAAACGTTGAGTGCCACTGGCCTGGCATCCAAATTAAAAGGCATGCCTCTTGGAGCTTGCCTTACACAAGGGGCTCCAACATCGTTACTGTCAACCACATCATCAGAAATTCTTGACTACCTACATAGTCAGAAATAACAATAATGAAGTATAGCATATATTTTCAATTTTTTAAGAGTACATGACCCATGTTGATAAACGTCAACAGGCTGACAGATCACATACAGGGACCACCTGTGTCAACCAAGCAAAGTGTGCTTGTCTAAAACAGTGCCTGACTGATTCTGACCAGGACTAGCAGTAACACTTTTTATATGCTTTTCTGTATGTTATTGCAGTATAATTCACAATCCAAACATATGTGTGCATATATATATACACATACGTACACATACGTACACATATTACTGGAAACACAAGAGTTTCCCAAAACCGAATCTCCCCCTCCTACATGTGAGGCATTCTGATGTTTTCTTTTCTATTCTATTTCTTTAAATGCTTCTTTCATATCATGAAATTGATTTTACAACCCAGTAGTGAGTTCTGCCATGACCTGTCTGTCAGTTTGTCATACTGTGGGGGCTTGCATGTTGCTAGGATGCTGGAAGGTATGTCACCTGTATTTCAAACACCAGCAGGGGCACCCATGGTGGACATGTTTCCGTGGAGCTTCCAAACTAAGGAAGACAAGAAAGAAAGTCCTGGTGATCTACTTTTGAAAGTTAGCCAATGAAAACCCTATACAGCACAACAGAATATTATACTATACAGTGCTGGAAGATGAGTCCCCTAAGTTGGGAGGCTCTCAAAATACACAGTGGCCGCAACAATGTACTCAAACATGCCAATCATGAAGATGTACTCAAACATGCCAATGTACTCAAACATGCCAATCATGAAGATGGCGCAAGACCAGGCAACATTTCATTAAGTTTACACAGGGTTGCCATGAGTCAGTGCCAGCAACTAACAACAGTGAGTGGTAATACATGTAAACACTGATCTGAAGGATGAAGAAAGAAAACAACGTCATCAAGATACAAAGCAGACTTGATAATGCCCCTTGATTGCTCAAGGGATTGTCTTTGATGTCCAGTAACTTTGATAGGAATTTTTGTCCTCATATTGTCCCGTTTGAGATAAATTTTCCTAAAATATGGTATGTCCTTTGTCTTATCCTTGGTTCCCTACAAAACAGAGCCTGAGGCAAAACCTATGTGCAATGCTTTATTTCAAGGTGGGATCCCAGGGCAACAGGAGTGAGGGGAAAAAGGAAGTAAGGCAGGAAATTGTTGTTGTTACATGCCATTAAGTTTATTTTGATTTATAGCAACCTATAGGACAGAGGAGAACTGCCCCATAGGGTTTCCTAGGCTGTAATCTTCATGGAAGCAGACTGCCAGGTCTTTTCTTCCGTGGAGCTGCTGGGTGGGTTTGAACTGCCAGCCTTTCGGTTAGCAGCCAAGTGTTTAACAAAGGCAGCAAGGGAGGAATAAATGATATAGGTGACATAGCTGACGTGGCTTCACAATACACAACTGTTTGTGCAGTCAAGTGAAATGTCTCCAGAAAGGCTACATAGAACCACTGAACTTTAGAAAAGGCAATCCAGGGACAGAAGGATGAGGGATTTGTCAATTGGGATCTCTCCTTAGTCGAAGTTTGTCTCGTGGGTTATATCTCCCCCACACTTCTGGGCTGGGCGACCTGGCCCTCTAGGCAGCCAGTGGGGAAGCTGGAGCTTCCGTGGGGTCAGATGTGTCAGACCTGAGTGGCTGGAGTAACCATAGTGCCCGCTGCGGTGGACATGATGGATTCTTGCTGCAGTCTGGCCCTTGTTCCAATGAAAACTCAACAAACTGTCTGCAAACAAGGGAGTGGAGGCTATGGTGAGGACAAGGCCATGTGGATCTGTGAAGTGCATAAACTACATGACCAGCATGTCCTTTAAATGCGTACATTCAACATTTTATTTCAGGAAAGTTTTCTTGAATTATATCTTTAAGTATTTTACGCCACGATTTGGGATGCTCTCTTTGGGAATTACCAATTATGCATATACTGGATCTCCTCTGTCTTCCACATTTTTCATGATCATTTGAATCCTTTTTCCCCATTACATTTTACCACTTTTCTCATTTCTTTCATCCCGCTGTCACTCACTGAATTTTCAGCACTGTTCATTCTTACACTATTTTATGGTTGTTCTAGTTTTCTTTTTTTATCCTACGTTTTGACATGTTCCAGTTCATTTTTTTATAATCCCTTTCCATTGTTTTGCCCCTTCACTGATCTAATGAGTTTTCTTAAAACTCGTGAGAAATCAGTTTCTCACGATTTTCATCTGCTACTAACAACATGGGAATAAGTGTTACCTGACATTTATTTTTCCCATTCCTTTCTCCCTTTTTTATTGTATTATCTGCGTGTGGATGCTATGCTTGTTCGTTTTTGATTACTCATATATGAAGGCAGCAAGTTTTCTCTTTTTGCAGAATATCTATTAGGGGAAGATACAAGGCCTTGCTCTAAGATCGCAGGACTTCTTACAACCGGGTGTTTGTCTGTGAGGTCATGGCCCCTTTAGTTCTTCCTAGACAACGGTGGCGGTTATTGTATTGTTTGCAGTGCAAAATCTTTCTCCGCTGCCATAAGCAGGTATCTTCCTGCAAATATGGCTTGTTTCTGTGAGTCTGCATTTTTTCCCCTTCTCAGAGCAAATGTGATTCTGCCAGCCCCTTTCTGCTGTTACACAAAATGTATGACAGATGCTGCAAATTGATTCAATCACAATCAACACACCCTGCTTGTACTATAGCCAAAAAAAAAAAAACCAAACTCATTGCCATGGAGTTGATTCTGACTCATAGCGACCCTGTAAGACAGAGTAGAACTGTCTCCAAAGAGTTTTCAAAGCTGTAATATTGACGGAAACAGATCATCACACCTTTCTGCTATGGAGTGGCTGGTGGGTTCGAACTGCTGACTTTAGTTAGCAGCCAAGTGCCACATTCATGATCATTAATATGAATGAATACGTTATGTATTTTATCAAATAGTACTTGATAAAGTACAGGTCTTCACCTTTAATTTGTTCATTATTAATTGGGTCATACAGGTTTCCCTTCGATCTGTAGACTTTTCACACACTCCCTGTGCATACCCAGGGTGAATCCCACTGACCACGGTGCACTGCCTTTTCCACACATGGCCACTTGCAACGCTGTTTAGGATTTTGCGTCTAGGCTCTTGCTTTCCATACATTCTTTCCTGGCTTTGCTGCCATGGTTACACTCTCAAACCTCCAGGCTCAGTCTCCAGACCACAGCGCCAAGACTGGCACCTCTCATCAAGGTACCCTGTTTTCTGAGTGGTGCCCATTACTGTTCTGGTTTCAGCCCCTATTTCTTTTTTTAAATCTTAAAACTTGTCACTTGGAGATTTCCTCTCTTACCACAAGCCCAGTGAGGTGTCCACAGGAGCTGGTTATTTGGCACTAGGAGGTCTCCCCACCCCAGGCATCTCATCTGCTGCACAGCCAGGGGAAGAATGACAGCAAGACTTCTGTTGTTAACCCAAGTGCTCCTTCATTTAACAGACACTATTAATTAAGGGCTCTGCTTGGGGACAATAAGCAAAATTAAACTGAATTTACTTGATGAATATCTTGCTTGTTTACTTTTTGTGGCTTAACTGCTAAGGTTTTGTGGACTTTTTGTGTCCCAGCCTCCCCCTCACCCCTCATTAATTTATAATGAGACAGGTTAGACACCTGCAGGACTCTGGGGGCAGTGGGAGGTCCTGATAGGAAGAATAAGAAGAGCTGACTGTGCAGATGAGCCAAAGGTAAGAATGTGTGAACTAGTAAGGATTAGGCTTGACTGCAAAACACAAATAATGGGCTTAATCCTGGCAGAGATGTGACTGTGCTTCCCACAGAAGCTGTCCAGGTTGCTGTCCACCAGAGGCACGCTGTCCAGGACTGTGTGGTGGCCCCTGGGGTCACTGCGGATCCCTGCTTCTTCTTTCATCCTGAAGATCGCCTCAAGGTCCAAGACAGCTCCTGGAGATGCAGCCACCCCTTCCACATTCCAGACGAGAGGCCAGGCCAGGGGATGAGAGTCTGAGACACCAAGGGTGAGCCTTCCAACACAGTTCACTCCTCACGAAGCAGAGCTTTCCTGGAAGCTCCATCAAACAGTTTCTGCTTATGGTCCACTGGAAAATGGATGAGGAGGAAGGAGACAAGAGAGGTGTCACCACTGTGGGTGCAAGATACCATCAGCCCAAAAAGATACACGCCACTCTACACAGAGGGTGGGACTGAGTACACGCCACCCCACAATGACGGTGAGACTGAGTACACGCCACCCCACACTGATGGTGGGACTGACAGAGGGGAGCCCTACAGTGAGAGGAGCCGCCACGTGCCAACGCGCACCAACAATCTCATTCTCTAAAACAGGGCCAGAAGGGAATTACTGGAACAGAAATATTGAGAGTGCTCACGCATTGTGAAGAGTGTAACCAATGTCACTGAACATTTGTGTAGAAATCGTTGAAAGGGAACCTGAACTGTTGTGTAAACCTCCACTGAAAACACAATGAAGTATTTAAAAAAAAAAAAATAGTGACCAGTCCATGAACCTTGCTGACAATTTCAACCCCAGCAGGTGGAGGAAGGAGCCCTGGTGGTTCAGTGGTTAAGCACTCGGCTGCTAACCAAAAGGTCTGCAGCTTGAATCCACCAGCCACTCCTTGGAAACCCTATAGGGTAGTTCTACTGTCCTACAGGGTCACTGTGAGTCAGAATCCACTCGACGGCAACAAGTTTGGTCAGTTTGGTAAGTGGAGGAAACAACGAGTGGGGCGGTCACTCTGGATGTAAGTAACCAATGAAGACACTGCTCGGTAAAAGGGACGCAGGAGCACTATGCTAGGATAACCTGGCAGACACATTAACTGTCACGTACTTTCCTGTAACATCATCAGACAGAACAAGAAAGAGTAAGAGGTACAAGTATCTTTCTCACGCGTACAGCCCCACAACCATCTCTTACTCACTGAACTCCTAGTGGTTCAGACACCTGCAGGGAGTGCTGCTCAAAGGCTGTCAGCGAGGTTGAGCGTGGAGGGCCGGGGCGCGTGAGAGGGCCTGTGAGCGTGGAGGGCCAGTGCGCGTGCAAAGGCCCGTGAGCGTGGAGGGCCAGTGCGCGTGC